GGTGCCTGCACATTGTCAGAGGATCAGGACTGGCACCGCGGCGCCACGGGACGCCTAAAAAAGCACAAATTTGATACTGTAACGCAGGGCTCAAGGCTGCATGGAAGCTCAAGATTATACAGTCACAGGGCTCAAGGCTGTGAGGGAGAACTTGGTATCGCAGCGGTCTCCTGCGGAGACTCTTGGTGTCGCAGATGTCCCTGCGGAGGTCCTTGTTCACGCAGCGCTCCCCTGCGAGGATTGTTGTTGACGCAGACCTATCCTGCGGGGTACTCCTGTTGACGCAGCACCCCCCTGCGAGGCATATTGATGACGCAGACCTATCCTGCGAGGTAGTCTTGTTGACGCAGCACCCCTCTGCGAGGATTGTTGTTGACGCAGACCTATCCTGCGAAGCACATTTTTACAGTCACAGGGCTCATTGGCTGTGAGGGAGCACATTTTTACAGTCACAGGGCTCATTGGCTGTGAGGGAGCACATTTTTACAGTCACAGGGCTCATTGGCTGTGAGGGAGCACATTTTTACAGTCACAGGGCTCATTGGCTGTGAGGGAGCACATTTTTACAGTCACAGGGCTCATTGGCTGCGAGGGAGCACAAGTCTTACATCGCTGGGCTCGTGGCAGCGAAAGCCGTGGTCATGGAGACCCTCAAGCCCGTAGGCAAGAGGGACACCGTGACACATCGGAGTGTGAGGACTGAAGTCCTGATTTTTTTGGGCTGGGAATTGGGCCTTATTTATAACTTTTCGGCTACGTCTCTTCCAAAGAACCACATGCGCAGATGGTAACGAGAATGGCGCATTTGATAGGTGTTGACGCAATATGAACGACGTTGAAAGGGGTTTTCGAGACTTTGTGGCCTACAGAGTCAAGAGTTGTCCTGCAATCATGTCTCTCAAAATTCTGCGTTGAGTGTGGTGAACAACGTTCATCAACTGTTGAGAAGAGAGCCACACCGCAAGAATATCAGTCTTACACATCGTTGAAATTGCAATTAAATCGCTCAACAGGGTGGCACCTAGTCCGGCTATGAGTCAGAGTCTTGTGGAAGATGATTGAAACTTTCGATAATGGTAAAATAATGTTCTGGACTTTCTGAGCGATGTTCACGCTTGGCCGTGCCCATGGTGGGCTTACTTCGCCATGAAGTAACATACTCGGTTCCAATAGACACACATACGTGGGATTGGTCTTCTGTGTTCAAACGCTTTCCGCAATTGTTGGACCAATAGTGGCACAAAGACAACGTTTCTATGGCTTAGCAATCCTTTTGATCAACTCCCTAACACGATTGAGGTACAAATAGAATTTGGCTTTCTGTCAAAGTTCATCCACCCATGAAAAGGTTTGTTGCAAACTCTGACGAATTCCTAGGACTATTGTCTTGCTGCATGCGGATCATCGAAGTCCTCCGCACCCTCGGAAGAACGGAATCTTCGCTATCGGACTGGGAATAAACGCCAATCCGAATCCGCTGCCTCCATGCAGATGAAAACTGAGGGAGTGCCAGCCGGCAGAGAGAATCAACTTCATACTATGCGCCGCATCGGCGAGCCAATCGAACATAGTCAAGAGTCAGTGATAGTCGATCATCCATCGGGCAGCCACCACAGCCGCGCGTATTCCATCACGCAGTAAGCAACCACCTCCATTATGGTGTCCTTCGTCGACTCCAATCTTCTAACGAACCATTTTCAGCTCTGCCAGGCGACTGAAGTCGGTACACCGTCCTTGCATGCTTTCTGCCTATCCTGCCTCATTTATTCCGATCTAGATTGTACAATTTGATTACATATACAAGAGACTCGCTGACAGATGGATACAGGGCGAGAAAGAACAAGGATCTGCGGCGCTCAATCACGCCGAAAAGTCTCACTGCACACTTGGACGTTCTCAAGCGTGAGTTGCAATCCTCCAGAACGTGCTTGTCTCGTCCCTTTACGGACCGAAAGAACGGTGTCACAAAAAGCGCGTCTCTTTTGAAGGCCCTGTCAGCGAAATGATCTACATATGATGTGAGAAGCCGGAAAGCGTTTTGTCTTCTTGTGATGTCTACACGTCAACAATGATTTCTATCTTGCTTGCTGAAGTACTTAATGCTTGCTTTGAATTGTCCCTGCCATGTGGGTTGGTCTGTGGAAAGCCAGATACCACCCTGCTAGAACGTACATATCAATCAGCCATGTAGGCTTTGGGGACAATAATCAAAGTCTTGGCCGTATTCACGAGCACACAAATGAAACAGTGCCTATGCTCCAGGACAACCACGTACACTCTTTCAACCAAGGCTCACCGCGAAGCTCTCGTGATCGCCACCTGTCGCACGATTGCAACGCTATTATCACATTGTTGGGACCCTGAAGATGAACAGCACCAGACGGACCAATCAAACAGCGCACACGGATTTAGACAGACGCAGGTATGGTTCTGCGATATAATCCCAGTGATGAGCCACGGGACGGTCGATCAAGGCGGTTTTATTCGTGGTCTGGAGAAGACGTTGGGAGGATCTGCCAAAGTCTAGACACGATCCACAGGCCCAAATCTGGCGGCCGTCAGCGCCCGACGGAACCAAGGTTTGTTGCTTAGTGGGTGCAATTGAGGAGCCGTCAAGGGAGGAGTATTTGGAATATTACAAGAATTCTGGTTAAATCAGACACGTGGTCATGTTTTCCTGGTTGCTGTCACAGGAGAATAAACTCTCCAGTCAAGTGGTAAGTTGCTACTTGTCTATCTGGTCTGTAGAATGTTCTAGAAGCTATGTATCCGTCCTGCCCTTCCTCTGATTCTCATACGCTCACCAAGCCCGATCCACCCTCTCCATCTACCCAATTGTGTCGTCAATCTGATATCTTCCCACGAGTTTATGTAAGGATGTCTCCGGTTTTGCACCGAAAAGCAGGGAACCGATTGGCCCTTGGCGTTATGAGCTCTCTTACGGGCCCGAAACTTTATTTCAAGCACTCTGCGCATCTCGATCATGACGCTAGTTAGAGACTCCTGTTGATACAGCAATGCGTTTTACAAAAAGCACTATTATATGCAAAGGCAATGAGAAATTCTTAGCATTCCCCAGTTCTCGATCCCTCTCTCTCGGGCTGCAAGGCTTGACCACAGCAACTGAGAAAGCAAGTGGGGCAACAGCACACAAGCTTGAATTCTGCATGACAACCGTATTTCATCTCCGAGTGAGCGTTTCCATGGTTCATCGAAATTCGACTTAGGGTTCCGCGATTTATTGAAGATCCCGCTCATGTTCCGCGGTCAAGAGACCCTTTGACACAATGACTCGATTTGGACTCCCCATGGGTGGGAAATGTAAGCCATAATCTCTTGCAGGGCCCAGTTACTGTAACAGCTGAGATAGTACTCTTGGTTCATCAAAAACCTTCTAAAGCTTGTAAAATAAACCCATGGACTACCTACTCTGAAAGCCGATTCGGTCATTCTGAGTTCTGACGCATTGACTCTGTATTTCACAATCAGTCAGACCCCCAGCGTTCGACGAATATCGCTCTATTAAGGCGACTACATTCTATCGTTATATTGTTAGAGGTTTTTTTTTGAAATTTGTGACTGTATGAATGAAGATAGTAATAATCAGACCCAGCCCCACCGGCTATTGAGCAATGTAACATCAAATAGACTTTGTAGACAAATAATTTGCCTTCAGATAAAGTCATATCCCCTAGAGTCTATTGTCTTTCGATAATGATTGGGTGGAAACATTCCAAATCAAATGAGAACTACGGTAAAGACGGATATAGATCTTGGGCTTTGCAAATCCAATCGCAAAGTCCGTTTTGAAGAACAAACTCCTCATGAAAGTCTATAAAACCTTCCATAACATACTACCAGGAACACTTATCTCGCCTTAAGGTTGTATCCAGCATGGGTAGAACTCGAAAACTTCCTTTCATCGATCAACCACAAAGCTTTCGGAAACGATTACAGCGTGCGCTGTCCCTGTCATCCACCGAATCAGAAGATATCTGGAGTCTGCCCAGATCTGCGGCAGGGGACACGACGGAGGACGAGTGTTCTCAGGAGGATGACTCCCCTCACAATCACCGTAACGAAACCACAGCGGATGATAGCCAGGAAAGTCCTCTGCACACCTGGAAGACGGACCCGACACCAGAAGAAGAACTAGAACAGCCCGGACAGGGACTCTCCGAGGACTCTGACCTGATCGCCTTCCAATGTCTCGCAGAGTGAGTCATCATCCGCTTCCCTGAAATGCTACTCGTGATATGTCTGCTCACACCGTTTAGACTAGATGCCCGAACAAAGTCAGTCGTGCGATCTACTAGATACGCAACAAACGCTGATTATTTCCAGATCCATGCAGAACTCATTGAATAACCAGAACAGCTGGATTGCAACCATTCGCAGTGACCTAGAGGATACCATCCGTCGATTGGCGGTTGTGGAGATGGCTATTGGAATGAGGGCCAAAGAAGGAGAGAAGCAGGCCACGGAGGGTGATACAACTAGCCGAACACTTCGGTCACAGCAGTGATTCCCACTTGAATGTGATGGAATTAGGTCTATTGCCTTGAGTCACATGTTAGTCTTTGTTGGCGGATTATTATGTCGCTGTGCTTTGCGAGTAATTATATTTTACCCCTGCAGAGTCGTAACTTGATATAGTTTAACATATTAAGATTTTCGAAAGTTAAATGGCCTGGCGATCATTTCCAGTCGTACCGGCCGATCATGGCCCACCAGGGCTGTGGGTCCTGCTGGTAACCAAATTTAGCGCCCCGCGCATTCTTTTCCAACCGGCAGAGCAAAAGTCTGAACAGCTAATTTTGTTCTTGAACTAAAATTCGCTCTACTGTAGCAATATCAATGTATGGATCTGTTTTCGATTGGAATGGCGGTGGTGTTGCTAAAGATTATCCACTGAGCTATCTGTCTGCGTGGTGGTTATCTGAATTGACTATCCAGTTCCGCCGCAGCCAAGACTGTCCAAGCCATTCATCTACCATGATTCACACAATAGATTCATACTGGTTGGCTGGTATTGCCACTTGCTGAGTAAATGGGTAGTTACTCGATGTGGAGAACCCTGGTAGAGCATTGTGCCCCAAATTCTCAAGCGTGGCGTTCTGGTTGGGCCAAGTTACGTGCATTACTTCAGAGCTAGGCAACAAAGGCACCGGTCTTCCACTCTGCAGAGCATCGATGGTGTTCCAGAGCTGTGTGGTGGCCGATAGCAGCTCACCATGCGTCTGACGCAGGACCGGCTGAATATCGTTCCACGAGACCTGATCCTGTCTGGTGGCCTCAAGCGACTCCTGCTGCTGCTTCATTCGGCAGAGTTCTTTTTCAAGCCTCTGATTCTCCTCCAAGATTTTGTCTTTTGCCGTGATAGCCTGCTGCAGTTTTGAAGTCTCCCGAGCTTTTTCTTCATGTAGACGCTGCATTGCCTGGAACTCATGGGCTCTCTCGTCGTCCATCTTCTGGAGAGCTTGTTCAAACTCTTTTTGAACTTGGTCCATCACATCCAAACATTGGCCATGTATCGCCACATGATCTTTCTTACGGGTGGTTTTCGTCATAGAATGTCCCTGCAAAGCTTCTCAGCCAAAAGAACATGATACAAGACAGATCACAGAGTTTCTGTACAAAAAGATACAAAACGAGCGATAGAAGAATGACACACCTGGGCTTTGTGTAGCTTCGCTACTGGGCTGACTGGGCTACGGCCCAGCTTGGACGTGGTAGTTGTCGACCAAACAGAGCCGGGCGAGCCAACGCGCGAACCGACAACACGAGGCTTTGCTTTGGTAGCACCACGACCTGCACCACGACCAGTACCCCGAGAAGATTTCGAGTCATTCGTCATGATAAGTTCTTGTGTTTGAGGGATTATTGTAACCTCAAGCAAAATTCGGGCAGATTGAAGAACCTGAATGTTCGCAGTAATGTTTACAGAATGGGGAATAAAGACTTTAAAGGTTTTGGTGGAACCAGAAGCAAAAGATCTGAAACAAGATGAAAATGCTGTGCCCTTGGGGAAACTTTATTTGCCAGCATCTGGACCCTGAGCAGGGAAGGCCAGGTGATCATTGTGCACACCGGACCCCACGGGATCCTAGCGCGATCCTAGCGCGAAGTGAAGAAAAGAAATTAAGATTCAAAAAGACGAGAAAAGGGACAAGAGAAACCACTGCCAGTCCATTGTGGATATGTGATCGGCCGGCCCGCATTACTCTATGCAATCAGTGGTGTTTCAATACCGGCTTGGAGTCTCCTTGCACTTTAATATACTTTCATTAATATGTCTTGCACAAATTTACATCAACGTCGATGTCTGATTGATAAAAGCAATCCTGTGTCTTGATGGCCGTGGTTGATATACGCTGTTATAGCAGAGGGGGTCAAGTTCTTAGCAGTTCCAACGTCGACAGAACCAAAGCCTGATCTACAGGATACTCGTATAATCTATTTGAGCTACCACGGCTCACGATTGGCCCCCTTGTCGATCGCCACCCGTCCAGGAGATTGCAACGCTATTATCATGTTCCCGAGGAGACCATGGACAAAAGAAAAACTCAACGGACCAATCAACAATTGGCATGGATGTGGACGGATGCTGGTACAGTTCGAAAAGAAAAATACCGGGAATGACCCATGGGACAGTAAATTAAGGAGGTGCTAACTGTGGCTTTCTGAAGAAATTCGAAGGACCTGTAAAAGTCCAGACACGATCCACAGGCCCCGAAATTGATGGGCTGCTGCCGTGCGGGTGAAGGCCTTTGTTGCTCCGTAGGTAAGATTTGGGCAGATGAGCTACTCGGAGTATTACGCGGTGTTTCCAGAAGGGAAGTATATGCCAAAGAATATGTGGTCATAGTTTCCTTGAACCCTTCGGTCATCTATCGATTGCCAAGCTTCCACCCCGTCGTCTGTCTGATCTCTCAAGTATTCCAGCAAATACTTCTTTCTGTCGGCACCGGCCATCCTAAATACGTATATTCCTCACTGCTGGGTAGATCCTCTCCTACCATGGCCCCAATTTCCTGGCTGATCCAGTAGCACTAATATAGCATAGATGTGGTTATGCTAATACAAGACGGACCAGAAACGTCTATGTAGACATATAGTCCGGGTCTTGTTCTAAAAGCCGATGAACCGATAGACTTTAGAACTGGCACCAGCCGGCGTTGTGGGCCCGAACTTCATATGGTCCGAAAGCTTACTTTTTGAGCATCCTTCTTATCTTCCGTTATACGCGTGGTTGCGCGGCCAACAATCTTCAAAAAAACACGATTGTGGTCCTTAAACCGTAGAATATGCGATTATAGCCGAAGTTTTCATAAGCGTGGATTTTTTTCCTCAGTAAATCCATTTAGACTGTAGTGACAGCCATATTCATAATAGATCTGGAAAGTGGAGCAGAAGAAGAGAGACAATCTGACTAGGAGGAAGCTTAAATCCTAAATTCCATGAATCATTGCTGACTACCACCGAACGCACCCTTCCGTGATTCACTCAAAGAATTTGTCACGATATTTGACATTCGCCACTGACCATGGATCCTGCTCTGCGTTCCACGGTCGTCATAAAACTAACCTTCGGTTTGACTTGAATGGAAAGGAACCTTTGTTCCAGCTGCGCGAGATCCTGCCATTATAGTACTGGCTGGAACAAATACTCTCCCATCAAAACGACTGGACGAGGATCGAGGATCAATCATGCCTGGAGCTACGGCGTAGATAACTTTGCTGTGGACCTACCCATCCAATTCAAAGTACCCAGGGGTGTAGAGTTATAACTCATACTGTGCGGGTTCTAAGATCTTTAGAACTTTCCAGGATATGACTTGCTACAGTGTGATGATTTCATTGCAAGGATATTCACATGCTGGGTCCAAAATGAAGCTATTTAAGCCCGCCACCGATCCCATCCATAATATTTTCTACAGTATACTCTTTGTACACTGAGAAGACCATGGACACAGTCATAACCAGCCTGCCCCCAACAGTGGGCACTATCCTGATGGATAATATCTCAATCATCCAGATCGTGTCCATGTTCTCAATCGGCGCGTACAATGGTCTAGAAACAGGAATCGTCGCGTTTGATGCGTTCAAAGGCTACCGCAGCCTGTATTTCTGGAGTATCCAGGTCGCATCCTGGGGGATCGTTCTGCATGCTCTTCCTGCCATGGCTCGCTTTCTAACACAAGCATCCAACATCGCGACGTCAGTCCCCTTCGTGATCGGATGGTATGCTATGGTCACCGGCCAAGCCATTGTACTGTACTCGCGTCTGCACTTTGTTGTCTCCAACGTGAGGACGCGGCGTTGCGTTTTGTGGATGATCATTATCAACGCCTGCATCCTACACATTCCAATGACCGTTCTCTTCTTCGGCCTCACCAACGGCGACGCACGTCTCGCTCGCCCTGCCGCAATCTTCGACCGAATCCAGCTGACGGCCTTTTGTGTGCAAGATTCCATCATCTGCAGCATTTATGTATACGAATCAGCTCTTACTTTCAAGAAGATCAGCACCATTCGTGGTCAGAACAGTCGCAGTGCCATCATTCATTTACTTTGGATCAACATTCTTGTCGTGTTTCTCAATGTCCTGCTCCTCGTCACAGAATACAAGCTTCACTACATTCAAGTGAGCTTCAAGATGGTGGTATACAGCATCAAGCTGAAGTTGGAGTTTTCTGTACTCAACCGTCTTACTTCATTGCTTCGCTCCTGTACCTGTCAGCGTGAATCCGGGGAGCGGCGGCGATCGAGTGGACGGAACCTGTTTAATAAGCTTCTTCCGCAGTCAGCTACGGCATCGACGACGGAATTGCGGCCTGCAGCCCAGGGAGAGGTACCAGATCGTCGCATATTCCCGACATGCTTCCAAAGAAAGCAGGGAGCGCGACGCGAGACGTCCAGCGAGTGTATGACACCCCCAGGAAACACGTCGTACTCACGGCGTACTTCCGAGTGTCAGACAGACACACATCAAGCTGGATCATCCGAAACTTTGCCGGCGCTAGAATTGACTTTATCTGAGTTTTCCCCAAAGTTTGACGTTTGAGCATTCCGACAACGAAGAATGCCAGGTCAATGTGACCTCATCGACGATGGAGCAGCGAGCTTGGATTCCGTGACGGACAGGTATGATCGCAACTACCAGGCCAGTCTGTTAGCGACAGGTTAACTATGATGCGTTCCCCTCAGACCATGTTGGATGGTGTCTTCGTTGAGCTATGGTAGGGGAATGGTGGTTCCACGCTTGTGAAGTGAACCCATGGATTTAAATATGGCACAGCAATAGATTGAATTAAGACTTGCAGATCGTTATAGAGTATTATCAAAACTACGACATAGTACAGCGCTATAAAGAATATGTCTTTTTGCTCATTTCAAACTATTTGCAGCTAAGACTGCCGCCAAAAGGCGCCTTCCTGTTTCAGTCCACCCCATAATCGTCACTGACATTTGTTGAAAAAAGCAGAAAGTCCTACACCTTGGATTCTGAGTTACTCAACATTTTTTGAACTGGTGCAGGATGATGAGAGTTCTTGGCCGGGTCAATACCTTCATAGAGATGAAAGGGATAACGACGGGAACTTACTAAGTGGTCTTGTGAAAGAGGCCAATGTTTAGAATTGGAAGTCAAGATGAATATCTTCCCCGATTGTCTCATTCGAATAATAAGATGGATGTCGGCATCGCATTCCGAGCTGTACTCAGACGCCTTTTTGAAAAGGGTCTTTCTCCTCCTGCGGGCTTTTTGGTGAACTGGGCGTCCGACTCTGCTTTTGAGCTTTGGCTGCAGGCTCATATTAACCGTGACTGCCGGTATGAGAAAAGGAAAGGCAAGTAGTAGGATGTTAAGTAATCAAGAGGCCGGATAGGAAAGAAGGCTGAATGGGAAAGAAAGGCAGGATGGTAAAAACAGATCGCATGGGGGCTGCGTTTCGATAAAGGAATGTTCGTCTCCAGTCAGTCTGATATCTGTGTGACAAGAAATTCAGGACAATGGTAGTACATTGGCAACGTTGATCTGAGCAAGATTGTTCACCAACGGTATAGTCCGGTGAGTCTGATAGTTAGGTTGAATTTCGAGCGAATGGAGTAGTTTGTTTGCAATGCACCGTGTTTTCTAGATGGATGCATATACTCAGAAGCTCCGTGGTCTGAAGAATGTTTCACATCTGTACCCTGGCGGTGTAAAGCTGCAGACATTTGGGGTTTTCTATTGTTGAAGAATGCTGAACACTTGCATAGTAGAAATGAGAGAGTCCTTCAACGATTGAGGCACTACGTTGAATAATCTGGCATGATTATGAACCATTTTCATCGAGATCCGTTCGGCTCCATGCAGATTGTACACCCAGTACGAAGTCTGCGCTACTAGTGGATCTGCGACAAGCCTTTTTATCTCGCTAGTTCAATTATAATAAAATTTACCACAGCACTCAGTATTATTGACACTGGCGATGCTAAGATACGACAAGACTTTCACCTACAGATGGAGCGAAATCAAATGTGGCATTCATTTGACATATGAGGTCCGACTAAAGCAATATGCATTTACTGATAATATTGAAGCACATATATTCTACTCAAGAATCGACGAAGAAAGGACAATGAATGAAGGCAGAGCGAGCCATTGGCAGTCAGTGTGAACAGCTGCTTAAAACAGTTCCCAAGCCTGCTCCGCATGTACCTACCTTGTCTGTCAATATACTGCACGTATTCTTCCTTATTCGGCAAACCAAATTGAAACGCATTGTGACAGCTTCCCGACCTGATAGAAAACGAAAAGGCAAGCCGCATTCAATGCGTAGTTACTTCAACGAGCGTAGTAAGACTGGACACCGTGATAGGCGGTCTTGTTGGTCACACTAACCAGTAGCTTTAGCTCCTCTTTGGATGACTCTCGATTAAATATCTCATTCTGGTAAAAATATTAGGCAAGAGCATGATGCGTATCGGGGTGATCTTTCTCACCTGCAGGAGCTTCTCCAAGGGAACATTCTCCAGCTGGTATGGCAAGTTTTGGATCTCGAGTTCCCATTCGTAGTTTAAATTCTTCAGCATCAATTTTTTAACAATATCAGCTAAAGCACATAATTTGATCGTTGCGGAATTCATTTCGGATTCATGGATTTTGCAGCTATTCTCGACGCCCACTACGGAAGGTTAGTTTCAATCCCTCTATACTCGCCAAATGTGGGGATATCTCACCAATCTTTACATCACCAGAATGTGTGACTAAAACTGTTCCCGGGCTCAGAGTGGCGAGCGCTCTTCCAAGCCGACGAAGATGTAAAATTCCCTCCAGTATCTGTGAAAGGTGAGTTCGAGCTCGTCGCGAATTTCATATGACTGACATACCGGCTTCACAATGGAAAGGATTTCATCCGCGGTGATCAAGCAACTGGAGGCTAAAATCTGATCAACTGACACCTCGGTTGGCTCCCAAATTAGCATACAGGACGTGTCATATTGGTAGCATTCGAGCAATTTGAGGAAACTTGGATGGGCAACTTGGTCCATCATCTCCAGAAGAGCTGTAGCATCAGGCATTTGTTGTTGGAGCTGTTGGACATGCACTACTGCTCCTTTATTTGTCCGACGCCGAGCAAAGATCCATGACTGATCTTGCAATCTGGCAACTGGTTCGAAAGTATCCCATGGATTCGCATAGAGTTGCGGAATCTTTGCGACCGAGCAATCCAGGCGTGGTTTTCTTGATGAAGAGGTGACTCCTTCGATGGCTTCTTTCCGGGTTTGCGAGGGTTTCAAATCAGTGAAAGAAATTGGGTTTGAGGCCAGCTCACGGTGAAGAGACTCATCAACCCATACGGTTCGGCGGTGGGTGTCCTTATGATTCTTCATCATTTTTTGTGGATTTGGCAAGTATGAAACGATACAGCGACAAAGCTAGAGGGCAGAAGAGCTTTATAGCTACAGACCTTTCTTTCGGCATAGATCTTTAGCCTCCCCATAGTATCTGGGTCACGATGTCATGTTATTACTTCACCGCAAAGTAAAGGTGATGTACCTCAATTAAACAGGGTGCTATTAATTTTTGATCTCTTTTCTTCTGACGACTCAATTATGATCTTTTGAGACATTCGATGCTCGCAATAAACTACTTGTCAATCAAATATCATGCACTCTGTCAAAAATTTTCCGGAAGGGCAGGGCTACGCTTATTTAGGATTATTCCTGCGCTGTATCTTACAAGCCGTGAATGTAATCATGTAAGTACTCGAAACGGAAACAAGAAGCTTGCGGGATCAATCAGATCAAGCTAGGCCATCGCACTAGTATATTGATGGACTCTGAAAACGCGAGCACCGTCTCAGGAATTGTTCCATATATACTACGATTAATGCGGAACTGGGGTTTTGTGACTTGCTCATTTCCATCGGCATCATTGCGAGAATAACAGTATCACGTTTTCAGATACGGTGATCATATTATGTAACCAATGTTCGTAATCATCTGCGCGGTCTGTCATGGCATGACCATAAAGTTATCCAAGTCCTATATACATAATCTGGCTTGAGTAAAGATTTGGAGATGAAGACCAGACTTTCTCTACTCCCAGGAGTACCTTATGAGCTTGGCCTATGCGTGGCCCTTGTCTAGAGCTCTGTGGAATGTTAGTCGTGTGTAGCATGTCTTGCAAATTGCAGCATAAATATAGCTCTCTTGCTCTGAATGAGCCATTAATCTCATACACTCAGCAGCAATTTGACTCCTGCAAAATGATACCCAACCGGTTCAACTCTCGAGCACTGTCAGTTCATACCAAAAAATACCGAATTCCCTCTAATATTTGATAGCTCTATAAAAGACCTACTGCTGCCTCCAGAATCTGCCACACAGCAGCAATTGAACGCGGTGTCACCAGGATCTACTGAAGAAGCCATTGTGACTCGAAGCACGGATCCTGAAGAAGTGAACACATCCCCTTCCGCTAATGCAGCTGATGCGAAAAGAATTCCTTGTCAATGGGACTTTTCTGGCTCCACGGCCGCAGCTCGTAAGCGGAAATATCAGGCTCAGGCATCACAAAGACATCGCGATCAGATCAAGCAGAAGCAGAGCTTGATGGCCAATGTCGCTGCCTACTCGGGCGAGGTTGACAAGCTTTCGTATTTGGTGTCACAGCAAAGAGCGCAATTGCATATGCTGAATAATTTCAAAGAACTTGTGTGGGCCAAGGATACAGATCGTGCCCTGGCATTTCTCGGTCGTCATCCACAGGTACTTCCCATCTATTTTCTTGAACTCCAACATCGACTAATCACCTCCGTAGCCACTCCTGTTAGATTCTCGTACATACAGGTCTATCAAACATTTTGTTAGATACTGTGGCAGCTACCTTGCCTCAATGCCGTGGAGCAACCCTTGCATGGATTTTGAAGTGCAATTCAACGACGGAACAGCAGGGCAGGTGAGATGGCAAGTGAAAGTGCCATTGCGGTTGCAGGCTGCGCCCGATTTCCAAATCCAGGAGGAAGAAGAAAAAGCCGAGTTTGCTAAGAGTCTGTTGCCTACGGTAGAGTGGGTGTTCTTCGAAAGTTTGAATATCGCCAAAGAAAATTCTATGCAGTTGGTTCCGGATAGGATGAACACGAGTTTGGTTATTCTAGAGAATGCGGTTTTTTAAATTGCATGTATCTTTCAGGTGTGTCAAGAATGTTTAGTGTCTCAAATCAGGCACCATCGCAATGAATTGCACCAGTATATGCCAACCCCCCAGATTGATGAAAGATTTAACATAATCATGTATTTCCACAAATGACTACTGCCATGAGTAGAGAGAAATAAAAAAAGCCCAGTCCTCGAATTGCCCCCGAAGATGCCAAATTTTCAGAGGCCTCGGCAGATCTCGTAGGTCCAAGCTGTGTAGGACCAGGCAAGTCAGACACTGATGTAACACCCACTGTATTAGCAGTTGGCAGTGTGAATGTCGGAATTATCAAAGTCAAGGGCACAAATTCATTATTCCAAGCGATTCTTCCCCTTGTGTGCGTACTTTGAGCGGTCGGCATTTTGTCCCTGGCCTGCTAACTTTGGATAATATAATTTGTCAACCTTGAAACATAGCGATTCGATTGGCCTCCAGTAACTTACTGATATGGACTCGTGATGCTGGACAAAACGTTGCGGGGGCCGTTTAGACTTGAATCGACGTAGCAGTTGCGCCCGGTAAATTTGATTCAGCTATTCAGTGACAGAGCCACCCTAGCTAGAACATATGTTAGCTATCAGGGTTGGGGAATATCACCTAGAGAACTTCCTCACCTGTGCCTAGTGGTAGAAAGGTACCGTTTCTTGTGATCGAAAAGAAGATAGAGGAGTTATATTGAATTTAGGATCAGAGACTTGAGAAGGTGATTGTGCTCATATTTATGTTGTCGGTTCTGTGTTTCGCGTGGACCTGGTGACCATATCCACAGAAACTGCTTGGGCCACCGTTGAAGCCATTAGATTTTCTAATGAATTATCAAAGACTCCCTGGGCATCAAATCGCGTTATAGCTCGTTGAGGACCTCAAAATGATGGGCTTAAAGGATACACGCTGTTATGAGGTTGAAAGGTCAGGCGCTGATTACGAGCCCTTCTCCTGAATAGCATACAGGCTTAAATGTCGAGTCACCCCTCATTCAAACGTGAAATGAAGCCTGCGTTCTACGGACCAAGATTCACCAGTCGATTTATAAAACGCTTAGCATTCTTATCTCTTACGGGATGGATCGAAATCAGTTTCACCACTTGCACACAGAGATTATTTCCCGAAGTCTCTATTGAAACATACTATGCATATTACAGTTCCTCTGCCCCTGGCTCTTTTTCTTGGCAGTACTCCAATACATTCCTATATAATGCTACAAAAGTGAACTCTGTAGTACTCTTGTGTGGCGTTAGGGGATTCTAAGTCGGGCCTGCATAAAAGGCAAACAGATAGGAGATCTCCTTACTCTGGCTGCCAGACTTCGGATGACAGTCTGTAGTCCACTCAACTTCAGAGTTTTTGTATGAATAAGGTGTGAGTTATACGATACAAGCGGCTTTTTTTTTTAATCTTTTGTGTTCTCCTGTTCTGCTCCTAGGATCCTGTTGTCTCCAGGAGTCACACCAAGCGACTGAGCTACTAGCTAAGAAAGGATGTCGGCTGCTGTAAGTCTGACATCCGACGTCCTGAACATAAAAAGCCCCATGCCCACTCTTCTACTTGGATTCGTATCGAACTTTCTCGCGTCTTTCGAAAAGCCGAGCCTCTCACTAGCCGTTGTATGTGACTCGAACTTTTACTTCACAATGGTTTCTCACTCAGCTCCGGTTTCAATGCCCTTCAATGGCCCTGATCTATTGCAACTTTTTTTTGGAGAGTTCGACGATGTCCAAAGTGTGATGAAGCAGACAGATGCTCTGCTGGCTGTTGAGCCTATAATGCAGAAACGATCTACTGTATACATTTCATCTCCAGTCTCCTCCTTTCTTTGGCACAACCTTTTGATGAGGGCCTCCTATGAATCTATGGATGTATGGAAGATAATCTTGGCAATTCCTTTTCGTTTCCGCTAATGAGATGCTATAGCAGGATTTTGGGTCGTCGTATCGGAGACTCACAGACGGAAAGAGCGTCACTATCAAGCCTCTCGGTGATGGCACGCTTAATTTCTATGCCACCCATGAGATATGTCTTATCGACTTGAGGGGTTTCTACTTCCCTTTTGCTTCTACCTCAGATGCAAAGAACACAATTGTCTTTGGTCCCCTGAAAGGGCGCTGGCAGGTCGATGAGCTTAACACCCTCAGACTCCGTGGATGGACTGTGGATTACTACGCCGCTAGTCGGTTGCTTGATGAAACTTCAGGTTTGAAGTTGGAGGGGGAGCTATCCCTAGAAAATGGCCGACAATTCCTCGAATACAGCAAAGCGATCGAGTACAACACTGAGGACGACGGACTGATCTCTACGAGTACAACGCTGACCGTGAAAGACGACACGGGAATTGTAGTGGATCTATTTGGGCTTGGATTGGTGATGGAAGATTAGGAATGTTTTGAGGATTGAAGAGGTTTGTAGAACTCGATCAATTTATTGGCCTGCAATTATGCCTTTCAAAGTGCCTCTGGGAGAAATTCCAGCCATATTGTTAATGCTCAATTGTTCTTGATCTCAATGTGGCTGGTTAGGCGAGACTAATATTAGACACATCATCCTGTATCTAAAGTCTACTAACTAAACACTACCCCACAAGGAACCGCTAAGATATTGACAGCCAAATTGACATACACTGAAAGGAATCTTGTATGGGCTCCAAGGAGGCACAACATTAGCTGAAGCATGTACATTTAGATCAGTGATAGTTACCCTTTCGGTTCAGCCGCCGGGCGATAACAAATTGTGTGTGTGTTTGTGTGTGTGTGCGTGTGTATCTAAACTTCATTTGCGGCAACGTTCAGTAGATTATTGGCGGACAAGCATATATTAACCACATGAGCTCATTCATTGATTATTTCCCTTCCAACTTGGGTAATGAAGGGCGCGAAATGAACAGTTTCCAATTTGTGACGTCTATCTGAATTTCTGGGTCTGCGATTGATCCAACAGTACAGTATCAGGTCGCGCATATACCTCGGCGTTCTGTAACTTCTACTAGTTTGGCCTAAGCTTCATCCACCCTTACATCATTGCGTTCTACTCTTGAAAGATGGTGGCATCACAGAGACTTTTTCAGCGGATCTTCAACTTATCGATCATGAGGTTCAGATCCTGTGTTACGTTATGCTTTATACAATTCGTTCTCAGACTCATATTTTTGATAACAAGTGTACTAACTAGATAGAGGGTGGGAGTTCGAAGTCCAAAGAAACTTTTTGACGATGAGCGAAAGAGCAACTGGGTGATACATATCAATCCACTTGCAGATTCAGAGTAGGTAAAGTTTCGCTGCTTGACTCTAAAAATGAACATCTGCTGCGGTACAAAAATTAGGGGCAGAATCAGAACGAAAACAAATGGAGAAGAAAAATTTCAATCTCACAGTGAACCTTTGGAAATGCCCTTTTGGGATCGAAAAGCTCTGATCTCACGTATCAGACATGACTGAGCCTCGGGCACGCCGGATATACTCGTCCTCATTTCGGAGTAGCTCTAATTTGTAGAACTTGTAAAGCGCGAGAAGTGCTGAACAAATCACTAGAGTTGCTCCAGTAACAGAAGTTGTTATAATAGCCATTACTGACCAATTCCCACTTTGAGACGTGCAAACGTTGATGACGGTGGTCAGCAGCCCCGCAGCGGCATGCAGACACAGGGGTCTAGTTCAATGTTAGACTTGGATCTGGCTTTTCAGCCCTTTCCGGTAATTCGCCGACTTACAGAAACACTTGATTGTTCAACCAGACGTAATTTCCTCTAAGCTTTGGGAAATGCATAAGCCACATGAGAGCTGCAGCTCCACCAACAAAAAGCAAGCACGCAATCACGAGTAACGGAGGGTTTTGGATCATATGTAGAGCGGTACGACCGGCTTTGTTGGTTTGCAACGTCTTTTCAACCTGGCTCGAGGTCTGTAGTGATGTGAACGTGCCAGGTACGACTAGATAGCCAGCCAGCAGTGCCCAGTTAGCCGCACTAGCCGTAATGTTGAAAAGGAGATCCATTTGTGCTTCTTCTCTGAGCATTCTGGCATAGTTGGTTTCATTGGCGGTGCGAATCGCTTTCACGCTTCGTAGCTCTGGAATTCCCCTCGAAGCTGAACCCGATGAAATAAGCGCAGGCTTCAGTCCAAGAACAGGACTCTTTGTGGATCGAATCTGAGTCAGCATTCTTGTATGATAGCCTGCAGCCAATAGTATGTATGAAATGAAGCAGAAAGTCAATATGAAGAAGGCAAGTCCGTTTGAGGACTTTGGGCGCTTTGTATTGTTCATGCTGAAAGCACACTACGGCCAATCGACACCCTTAACACTAAGAAAAATCGCATTTTTCACTTGCGTTGAGGCTGACATGGTTTAATTTCCAAGTCAAAAATGAATGGCTACTCACCAAGTACAAAAGTTGCTGCATGCCTGATTTGGCAATGAGCATCTTTAAACATGTAGCTAGAAGAAATTTGCCGCTTGACAGTTTTGCGCATATCAGATTATGAGGCGGGACAAGATGCCAGCTTCAATCTGAGTATCGAAGTATTACCACTGCTTGTCACGGGTCATAGTCCTTATATAACCTCCACAGGAGACTGTTTTTCTCGAATCAGCCAACATTTCTAATGGCTGCCTGGCTCGATCTCGTCAGAGAAAACGAAGCATGGAATTTAGTTGATACCAACCGCCTGGAAGAATTAGTGCAGGAATTGCCCTATCCGAAATGTCAATATCCGTCTCTGCTGTACTTTTCCGGAAACGCAAATCGCATGAAAGCCTTACGGGCTCTCTTTCCCTACAATAACATCACACGTAAAGGCCCCGCAGGATTAGTCCGTCTCCATCTCAGCACCACGACCGCTCATACACAGAATCCCATATTATTTGCCGAAAGCAGTCTTGGCCTTGAACGAAGCATGGGCGACTCAAAATGGCTCAAGCATTCAATGACAAAACATCGAGCCTTCTCGGTGGTGGCTGCCAAAGCTACGATGTTGCCTGCAAAGCTACAGCAAGAAGTCAAGAGACACTTTGTATTGCCATGGAGCCAAATCCTGTGTTTATTTCTCGATTCCATGTCAGACGTGCAAGCTGCAAAAGAATTGTTACAGCAACCATGTCAACAGCTGACCATTGGTGGCGAAGCGATTCCTTCTCACCCCCAGATAGCCATTGTTATGACCAACAGTCAAAAAGCAACAAAAGCTTTCACCCAAGAATGCGCACAGCTTCAAAGGCTGACTGAGACTAGAACAATCACGATTCTCGATCTAGGTCCACGAAGCGGACTCTCAGATATCACGGCGTTCGAGCCACTGCAAGCCTGGATCCTGAAACAGCTTAATACAGTTCAAGCGGAGCAAGTGTCAGCTCACCAAAAGTTCTCAGCATCTCATCTCGGTACTTTCTGGAGCAGCCGCTTGCAAAGTCACGAATGGACCTTGGACGCAGCGCCATGCGATCTTTTAGCAACAGCCCGAAGGGACTTGACGAGGAGTGAAACGATGGGCGATTGTCTGCAAGAAATGACGCGGAATGCAATATCCACCGGTTGTTCAAAGAGAGATTTCGAACATCTGATAGCGTCGGCTTTCCTGATGGAGGCTTATCCTCCGGGAATGCATCGTACGTCCACTTTCTCTAACTTGGTTCTTTTGCTAATTTTGCTAGAATTCTCTCCGACTGTGATGTTCAAGGCATTGTACGAGAAGCTGTGTGTTCGCATCTGGGACGGGGACTTGTACCACCATGTTGGTGGCGTATCTATACTGTTTCGTCCAGTGTTTTGAGCAGCTGAGCCCTCCCAAGACATCGGCATTGATCCGAAAAGAGACCTTGCACCGTATATATCGCCAATGGGGCGGACTCCGCTCTACCACGACTTGTTTTGTCTGTCTATGCCGCCCTCCAGAGCACATGCTCCCTTGCAAACATACACTGTGTGACACGTGTGTCGTGATTTTCGGGCATCCAAGTGTGCTTGGAGAGTATCACTTCGAGATTGCACAATGCCCCATCTGCGATGAAAGGTCCCATGTCACGATACGCCAGCTACCTCCGACGAAGCACCCGGTGATTCTCAGTCTCGATGGCGGAGGTGTACGCGGCCTTATTCAATTAGGGCTATTACAGGCGTTAGAGAAGCGCATTGGGGTTTCAATCACGTCTCTGCCAGATCTGTGTATGGGAACGAGTGTGGGTACGTACAACTAATGGCATCGTTCATCATGTGTTTGGATAGACTGACCAGCCTCTGTAGGAGCATTGTCAGCGATTGATCTTTTTCTCAATCAATCCTCGGTTACGCAGTGTTTCCACGCATTCCCGGACCTGGCGCGAAACATTTTTCGTCGTTCATCGAAATTCCCGATTCCCCGTGGTATCCGGTGGCTTGCCTCGGCGTTCAACTTGACCACAAATGGTTTGTATGATTCCGATGGGCTGTCGGAAATCATCAACGCAGCAGTTGGCCCATCTCGTCGCATGTTCGATGTTGCCACGGCCAGCCCTGCGGGTTGCCGACTCGCGGTTGTAGCAAGTCGCACCTCTGATGGCAAAGCCTGCGTATTGGCCAATTATCGAGGAATCGGCCCGCGCACTATTGATACCGCCTATCAGTTCTTGGCGCCACGTGACGACCGCGAGAATCCTCTTGTACGGGACGCGTAGGTCCCCACGGTCTTTTCCCAACCTGAATCGGCCCTGTTGCTAACGCTTTATTTCTGGCAGTGCAATATGTAGCGTTGCGGCACCCTTGTGAGTACATTACTGACGTATATGGAAGCTCGCTGACACTGTCCAGTTATTTCCAGACCAAGACTTTGCCGGGCCTGGGGCTCTTGCAAGATGGGGGGTTCGTGCAAACAATCCGCTCGCCATTGCGTTGCGAGAGTCAGGCATCATCTGGCCCATGGCGAAACGACCCGACCTTGTTCTTTCTGTCGGAACAGGCTTCTCCACACCTACCTCGAGTGATGCAACGGGGTTTCTGGGTCGAATCTGGGAAGGTGCTCTTCCTCGATTGTTTCGGGCCATGATGTCGTCCCCATCCATGGACGGCAAGCAAGGCTTCTTGGAAGCCCTGAATTATGTCCCGCATCCGTTGGCCCCCAACATTTTCCGACTAGATCAGGCAATCAACGGAACACTCCCTGAATTAGACGATGTGCGCTCGTTGGAATCGATGTCCACCATGGATTTTGTGATACCAGATGGGCTTGTCAGAACGATTCTCGCTTCGGCCTTGTTTTTCTTCGAGTTAGACGAGACGCCTACTCCGCACAATGCGTCCTTTCAATGTCGAGGATCTATTCTCTGTTCGCGTCCACATCCTGCCGAGATCGTGCAGCGTATTCTTGTCGAGTTCTCCCGGCGCAAGGTTTCAGTCCAGTCCGGACCATAATTTAGGAAGCATAGACCCAGTTGACATGTGTCAATTTTGTGGATACTTCAGAAAGCGCATTACTTTTCGCGTCGCCAGCCTTGACGAGAGGGTCTCTATCGAAATTGCCAACGATACCTTTCGCGAAAGAATTGGTGGTTTCCCAAAGTCGGCGCAAGAATTTCTTGACGAGCAAAAGGCCTACGCTCAGTTCGGTCGCACGGATCATCAAACTTTGGAATGGCCACGGCGGAGATCTTGTTACTGCCATCGTGGATCGAAGCGACTCGTCCACTTTCTAGAACCCACTTTGACGCAGAAAAGACGACGGTTATGAGCTGGGTGTAGCTGTAGTTCCGGACGGGGTTAGATAATCAATGTAAACAAAAATTTATGTCTCGGCGGGGTATCCGATGAAATGCAAGACGGGTGGAGAATAGGTCTGCTCTGGTTTTGAACAACAGGAATAATTAAATAGGTAGTCTGCATTCGAACAAGACTTCATCACCTCACTCACTGGTTTTTACCTACGCATGATTACAACCGTTTATAAGTGTTGGAAAGCGCGATTAAGGGCGTCAAAGAATACCAAACTGTGGGAAGTCATTCGACAACAAAGAATATGCGCCGTCTCCAATCTAGAGTCTGTTGGGATTGCGGTAAGGATGACCCCGAAAATTGGGTCAATCATGAGCAAACTAGCTTGGCAGTATGCTGGTGCTAATCTTCGACTCAGGAATCGACCGTCAACGGTGGTGATAATGTGATGAAAGCCGTTCACAAACTGTTCAGCACAACTACTGCCGTTGCGCATGGACTGAATTTGCCTTCTTATAGACCTGCCCCGAGCCCAACTTCAGTTTCATTGAGGCATATTCAGTATGAACCTTTTTCGAAAGCAAAGTCCCCATCACCCTAGTGACAATACTTCTAGCATCTATAGTCGATCCACCGACACGGCCAAAGATGTTATACCCATGACCTCCATACCAACTACCATACAAATCAAGCCATCTCTCCCTGAGATCAATCTGCTAGACCACCAAATCTCGATGGCTTGCGGATCTACCATGGCCTTGGAAACCACCCGCCCGCGACTGAGAAAATCCAAAACACAACTCGAGATGTCGATTGCAGAGTTGAAGGCCGAACGACTGCAGCAGCATAGGCAACAAGGGCTTGAGAATGATTTTTATTGCAAGTGTTTTGAGAGCTTCCACAAACTTGTCAGCACCACAATGGACGCAACACAGAGTCTGGCTCTGCAGTACCATTTCAACCCTGCAAATAGTCCTTCAAGGGATCCACGATTGATTCGAGCTATCGTTTCCTTGAGAGTGGCTCTTGACAAATCACAGGCCGAGGAAACAAACGCAGAACGGGAATGGAAGCGGCAGTGGAAGGACTCTTCTGCTAGGCAGTCGTCACTCCAATGGCTTTAAATGTTGAGATATTTTGTGTACCTGTAGCATCTATATAGATAATCTAGGACATATCAAGTTGGGAGTAAGGGATTCCAAGACGAAGTTTCTGAGATAAGACCAAGAGAATCTTCAGGGCATCGGGAATTTACTTGATATCTTACCTCATCAACCACAGCAGAGATACGTGCAGTTGTCCATGCGATTGTCTCCGTAGGAATTTACCGACCCCTAAGAATTTTTGAATTCGGCGCGTAAAAACTGTTCCACGTTAAAGACGAAGTCATCTTCAACACCTTGGAGGACTTGGATCACAGCTTCTGGAAGCAAGGCCAACCGTCGACCCAGATGATGTGGGCGGGCTTCACACAGAGAGATTTGGAGGGTGGCTTTCTGCCTTAGCTGAGCTGTCCGCTGGTCGAACTCCGAAAGTCCGGTCTTCACGAACACTTGAAGTCGACAAAGACTTTTAGAGTCTTCCAGGCCAACAGTGCATTGCGAAAAGTTGATGGCAACGCGAATTAGCTCCAGTAGTGATTTTCGATGCTGTGAAATGCGATGAACAGCCGCGTGGCGGATACTAGTGATCACGCCACGCCATCCGATCAACGCACTTAGAGTTGACTGATAAAATTCGTCCTTGACTTTTTCTCGATGAGCTTGTAAGAAAACGGAAGACTTTGTGTAACTCCAAGGCTTGCGGGCATGTCCATCCGACCGCAAGCGATTCTGCTAACAGCCATTTCTGAATGAAGCAGAAAGCACAAACTTCAAGTTGTTGTTGCATGACCTGCAAGATCTGGTGCTGGGCGCGAAAGGGAATGTATTCAGCGGAAAACCCAGGTAATGAACCTATGCTTTTTATCACCCCTGTCCAACATAGTTAGTTTATAGCCTCTGAAGTGTCAGTCTTGGAGTATCCGACTTACCCTCATGTTGCAAAATGTTCTGGGGCATAGCCAATTAGAGCTTCTATGTAGTCCAGCCCTTGAAAGTAAAATGGCGTTAAAATCCACGAAAATATGTGGAGCCTGCGGGTGAGAGATACTGACGGAAAGATATATCTTTAGAGAAACACGACGTACACGACGAACCCGTCGGACAGACTTTCAGAGTCGCCATGACTTTATCGACTGTATAAGACCTGTCTCATTTTTTATTCGCATCAGGTTCCTGCAACTGTTCAACTCTGGGTGGAAACTTTACAGCGGTTCCATAACGGTCTGTCGCTCTTTCATGCTGTAACACCATCTTGCTTGTTTTCTTAAATTAGCCCACAGCACCGCTTATATAGCAGTCGACTTTTCCTGTATTGGCTATGCAACGCTCGAGAACTTGACGAATCAAAAAAATGATCGCGCTAGTAATTCTAAGCTTGAGCGTCTTGATCGTCGCGATTCCAGTGGTATGACCCTTCCTATACAGTGCAATTTTGCGAAATGCTGAGTCTTGACAGGCTTCCCGGCCTCTCAGGGCAATCATGTTCAACACAGCAATGGTCAGTAATACTCTTTTGGTAGTATTGTATCGCGAGGATTTGCCCTGATAATTCTGTCGATGCAGACGCCTCTCCCACTACCAGCACAAAGCGCGAGACGCAACCACGTCCTGTCCAGTGGACTGATCGGTAACGATTGCACCCATCTCCAAAATATCGACTCACGTATGACATCCCACATTTCTCTTGATCCAAGCGCGAAGCACGGTCGACTCCACCGACATCGCCGCAGGCAGGTGGCACGGAGGTAGGGGCGCATACGGGATAATGATTCTTCCGTCTGTGATTGTCACTTTTGTCCGAGCGTCGGAAATTTACTAGTGCGCCCGAGGAATTCAGCATTCCGGCCTGTTGAACAAAAATGAGGGCGCCCCGTGTCATAACACACGGTAAAACAGCGGTATGAGGTGCAGGACTATTTAGGTGCTCCAACACTGCCGTATGATTGTCAAGCTATCGACAGCCTGACAAGGCTCTGAATCTGTATCAAATCCGCAGCTACAGTATAGTAACTAGACTGCAATTATACGTACTCAATTGGCTTTGTTCGTAGTCGTCGACATTGTCACGGCCGTGCTCCAACATAGCTAGCTATAGCTTTTTAGTAAGTTACATATACCGTTAGGAGGTTAGTAGTGTTGGTCTTTGAGGTTCATCATACAGGGGCGGTCAGTGACGGAGGATAGCACATCCGTCCCCGTTTAATACTATACCCGCAGACTAGATGTACAGCAAATAGCAGAGTGCTAAGCAATGAAGCAAAAGGGCCGAAAATAGCAAAGTGTCATTTTATTTAGCGGAGCTCCGTGGGTCTGATGGCTATGCCTGTTCTGCTATTTCCCGGAATGAGCCATGATCCCCTAGGTGACCCTCCTCAATAAAGTATGGATATAACTACGAGACCATGCGAGAATTATACTCCAAGTGCTGCGCTAGAGCGTTCCATCTTTTTTTTTCGCGTATTGGTCCAGAGTAGACAGGGAGGTTTTTGCCGGCCGACTGATCAATGGTGGAACTGTAATCGCGAGGTGTCCGAATGACAGCCGGCTTGGAGCGTGTGTTCTTTCACCAATCAGCGGTCAAATACTAAATCCTCATGTGATTATCATCTTACCATATCTTCCTTGGAAGGTGGAAGAACATCGGGATGAGAGTGATACGTGAAGATCTGGCCATCAGGCAGTTCCATGATGAGCCAGCTTTTCATTCCATACAGAAGCCAAAATTCGTTATGGCGTCGTAAGAGATTATTGCGGCGCTTGCGAAGTTGCTCTCGCTTGACTCGACTGAGGGTATGCGTCATTTCTAGACCAATTTGCTGTAATCAAGTAGTCACCCGCCGGCTACCGCATTGATTTATGTCGGAGATCTGGTATGGCCGAATTGCCAGAGCCAGCTTCTTCAACGATAAACATTGCATCTCTGGGGGTTTTCAACAATCTTCAACTGTACCGACTTAAAGTGCGGTAAAAGTATTAAAAGATGAGACTGGAACTTGACGCCCCAAGATGCGAATGCTCTTCGCCAAATGAGACACAATAGTGGTATTTCATGAGTCCTTTCGTTTACCGCAGTTCCTGAATTGAATCAAAAGCTTACTATAGACCTGATACTAGCCTGTTCAACAAATTATGGCGTGGAAACGACCTCATCTGACTAAACGGGCTTTGAGGGTGGCAATGAAAATTTGAGAATGAAGATGCAGACAATTTATGCGGCGAACTTCAGTTTTATCATGCATCCAGGATGTGAGTTCATGCTCACGTTTTCCTAGCATGAGTTCGAATCATGGAGAGCTGTGCCATCCTAGTGGATGAGCTATTTCGGATCTACACATGGTTGGCATGGAGACCTTTAATAGTGATTAAAATAAGCTCGGAACTTTGCAAAAGTCCTCAAAACTGGAAAATTGTTACCGATATGGCTCACTAAATTGATACATTATCGTGTTGTCGTGGCATATTCAGAGACCATTTAAGATTAATACTCCCGTGCATAAATCGAGTTACATCCAATAAACACGCTCGAATCCAACTTTGACAATCCGCGGCAAGTGTGGAAGATCCGATATATGTGCCGACCGGATCATGGCTTCCGAGAATAGATTGGTCAGACACAGTTACGACAGCATTTTACAAGCAACAGAGCTACCAGAAAAGCGAAATCAACTCTCCGATGAATATTACATCAGGTGCATGATCCTGTTATTCTTATTCTTTCAACAAAGCACCCAAGAAGATCTAACAGCTTTCTTCACGAATCGGGCTGAGAGTTTGGAGAATAAACTGACAGCCAACCTGCCCAAAACTCAGAATTCGTCCGCGAAGCCTCGACTAGCTCCGAAAACCCTGGTATCGGGTTCTAGCACCCCAAAGCAGCTTGGAACCTATCTGCAGCGAAGGATGGGACATGAAACACAGACGCTGAAACGATATCGGATGCGACTATTCAATTTTGCGGTTTCCAATCAGGTTTTGATGAAAGTACAGCGGTTCAAAAGACGAAGTTGGCCAAAACTGAAGCGACTGAGTCGAGCTGTCCACCGCGGTTCAACACAAATTTCTCTCTTGCGTGCACATCTGTCGGCATTACAATCAGAGCTCGAAGATCAGACATCATCTGGAACCAGCTCACTCCAAACTGTTATGCACAGGCAAAGACCCACAGAATTAGAATTCATCCCAGATAATTTGTATCAAGTTGGATTGATTTTAATCCAACACTATTTTCGAAAGTGGAACGCAACGGCGGCTGGAAATCGGATAGATATTCCAGAGTTGGCCATTGTTAATTGACGAAACCCCTTGTCTACCGGCCTCATACTATAGATTCGGTGGATTGAATCGTATTGCGTGTTCTAAGTGGCCTTCTGATACATCCCTGTTTTTGGCTGGCAGACCCTTTGGTGGATGTACGGGGACTATACATTCTTCATTTGTCGCTCCTTGACCACTCTATGAGCTTCTCGTATTGCAAGTTTCACTTACCAAGTGTGGGTGACTATGAAATTTGAAGCATTGTTCTTCCGTAATTGATATAGATGATAGCACGACTGGTCATCTTATGCGAAAGTGTCGGAGCCTGTGGCCAGGATGACGGTCTCTGCGCTAGGTAGTTCAAGCTTCGTTCTAGATTGGAAATTAAAAAATTGATAACATGTATCTAACTCATGAAATAAATTGTGTATCTGCGTTGTGGTTTTCTTCGAACATTTGCCTGTCTAGGCCCGGATATCGGTCTTGTTCTTCAAAGCTCGCCCTCATCAATGCCATGCAGATGAGACAACCTGTCAATTTGCTCTTGTACCCAGACTTCTGCGTCATTTCGGAGCCTGTCTCGAACACCCCTCTTTCTTTTGCTTCCAGCACCCGTTTGCGATGGTGCATCATGGTGAATAGCTTGCGTGTCATCTCTAGCCTCGGCATAAAGAACCGACGAAGGATGAGTCAGGTAGTGCGAATAGCAGTTCTCTGGGAGAATAAAGCGTCGATCCTCACCAACCCAGACTCGGAAGTGGTGATCAGATAAACCTTGCAGGAAATCTTTCATAAAGGCTTCATGCGCTGGCAGATCTAATATCCGTCCAGTCGATCCAACTGTGATGTTCATGACATAGAAAGACGGGGGCAGATCATGAGCTGGGGCCGCAACTAGGGCATCAGACGTCTGAGCTGTTGTAGTGGCGAGACTGTTCGGCCTGTGACTCCCAGGATCTATGTCCATCCCGTCTGTGTTCGTCATGTCCACAGCAACAACTGCTCCAGTCAGCCCTTCCTCGACGGTTTGATGTTCCAGATCATCTCCAGCACGGGGAGGATCAGATGTTTGACCATTGCTATTCCAAAGATAGCCAAAGAACGCCTTGAAAACAGATTGTCGGAGAAAGCCCGCTGTCACGCGCACTGGGAGGCGGCCTTGTTGCAACGACTCTGCCGACAGCGCGAATCGATCTGCCTCGATGGTGTTTGAGTACGGTTTCCCACACCTTTTCGTGACTTCTATCTCTTCTTCTATGTTGTCTGGATAGTCACACGGCCTAGGGGAGGGTAGCTCCCCCGTTGCAAATGATGTGTTGTCTGTGACCGGGGCTTGGAATGCCCTAGCCCTCAAGAGTGTAAAGAAATGGCGCCAGATTTCTTGTTTGGAGGGAAAAGAAGCATCGGGGGTCTGCTGACCAAACAAGTCTTCCGGCTCAGCGTCCTTGGACCACTTGAGGCGTTGGTGATTGGTCATTTCAAATCCGTACTGGAAACTGAAGCGCCAAAATTCGAGCAGATCGTCTCCCAGCCATTGATGTCTCATCTCCATCGAGATGGGGACTGAACTTTCATATTTCCCGTACACTCCCTGGTCAATTGTAATCATTTCGTCACGCAGCTGCGGCTGGACAAACAGTTGCTTCATGACGCTCTGAGCGACCTCAAGATAGAGTCGGTCCTTGAAAAATGTCCTCAAGGTC